CTAATTTATGCAGTGGCCAAATGGTTTGCTCCCAATTTTAATGCCTGTAGCTCGCAGAGTAGAATTTTTGCTCACAAGACTCCACAACTTAGAGGGAGCATTGGTTCTAGCTTGTCTATGTCCTCCTTAAATTGTGGCGCCCAAAACTGAACACAACACTCTAGGTGAGGTCTAATCAGAGCAGAGCAAAGCGATACCATCACTTCGTGTGATCTGGACACTCTACTTCTGTTGATGCAGCCCAAAATCACATTTGCCTTTTTCGCTACCGCATCACACTGCTGACTCATCTTCAGTGTATGGCCTACTAAGAACCCTGGATCCTTTCCGCACACCCTACTGCCGAGACAAGTCTCCCCCAACCTATAATTATGCATTTGTTTTTTTCTACCCAAACGCAGAACTTTGCATTTATCCCCACTGAAATTCGTTTTATTTCTTTTCGCTCGGGTTCCCAACCTTGGACTCTAAGGGGCCCTGGATTCGAATCAAGATCATCTGATGCCGAGAGCGATGACTCGCAAAAGCTTATACCCTGGAAATCTTGTTGGGCGCTCAGGTGCCCTGAAATCGAATCTGGCTCACCTGACCAAGCGAGCTTTGATTCTCGAAAGCGGATACCCTGAAAATCTTGTACATCTCTAAGGTGGACCCGGATTCGAATCTAGCTCATCCAGTGATGAGAGCTTTAACTCTTGAACGCTTATACCCCGAAAATCTTGTTGCCACTGGAGTAGGATCTAGCTCATTTGATAAAGGGAGTGTTGACTCTGAAAACCCTACACTCACTAGGGTCTTGGACTTGGATCTAACCCTTTCCCATAAGGCCGAAAAGCTGAACAACACACACACACACATGCAATATACCGAATCAACCAAACCCCGACAGCAGAGGGTTGAAATAACTGATTAATAATATAAAGACAAACGTTTAAAATAACCCCAGCTTTGCCCTACCTGGGTCTGGGTCAGGAACCCCGCGTGATCGCCTTGGCCGCCAGGGGGAGAACCTTCCTGTGGTGGGCGGGCCTCGGTCGCTGTCGTCGTGACCGGGACCCCGGGGCTGGAGGGTGAGGGTTGGCCGGCTGATGGGTGGACCGTAGACCCAGGCGCTCCTGCAGGTTTTGTGTCTGTGGCCGGCCGCGTAACGTTGGAAGGCGTCGTCTGCCTCGCTGCGGGTGTGGTTGGAGGCCCGGATCCCCCGGAGCTGCCTGTAGACGGCCTGTTTGTGGTGGCAGCGGTGTTCTGGTCGACGGCGACGCTTCCTTGCTTCGTTGTGCTGGATCCTTGAGATGGGGCTGTGCTTGCTGTTGGTTTCTCTTGCAAGAGGGAGAAGCAGAAAGGGGGGGGGGAATCAATAAGGAAGTCATGCACACACACACCCTTTCAGCCACACATTTTTTGGAGGGGCCGGGATTTCCACCCGGCCTGGATTGCCCAGGCCAGCACGATTTCATCACATCCAGGAAGCGAAGTAGGGTTGGCTCTGATTAGTCCTTGAACGGGAGACCATCAAGGAAGTCCAGGGTTGCCACGCGGAGGAAGGCAACGGCAAACCACCTCTGTTCATCTCAACCGCATGCAGCTGCTGGTGTGACCTTGGGTCAGTCACAAGTTCTGTCAGGGCTGTCCTCTCAAGAGCAGTCCTCGAAAGAGCTCTCTCAGCCCCCGCCTACCTCACAGGGTGTCTGTTGTGGGGAGGGGAAGGGAAAGGAGATTGTCAGCCGCTCTGAGTGAAGGGCAGGGGATAAGTCCAGTCTCTTCTTCTCCTCTTGGCAAGAGACGTTCAGAAGTGGTTTTGCCACTGCCTCTGTGTAGCAGTCCTGGACTTCCTTGGTGGTCTCCCATCCAAATACTAACCAGGGCCGGCCCTGCTTAACTGGCAGGATCTAATGATATTGGGCTACCCTTGGCCACCCGAGTCATGGCTCCATGACTACCCTGGCTCAAAAAGAAGAAGAAGAAGAGGAAGAAGAAGAGGAAGAAGAAGCAGCAGCAGCAGCTAATGCAGTCTTAGGATGCATTAACAGAAGAAGCCTTGTGTCCAGATCACGGGAGGTGGTCGTTCCGCTCTATTCCGCTGTGGTCAGGCCTCACCTGGAGTACCGTGTCCAGTTTTGGGCACCACATTTTAGGGAGGATGTCGACAAGCTCGAGCGTGTCCAGAAGAGGGCAATCAGGATGGTGAGAGGGTTGGAGTCCAAGTCTTACGAGAAAAGGCTGAAAGAGTTGGATCTGTTTAGCCTGGGAAAGAGAAGGCTTAGAGGGGACAGGATTGCAGTCTTCAAGTATTTGAAGGGCTGTCATGTAGAAGATGGAGCAGATCTATTCTCTCTTGCTCCGGATTGCAAGACTAGATCTACTGGGTGGAAATGGGTCGATACCAGCTAAATATCAGGAGAACCTAACTGTAAGAGTGGTTGAGCAGTGGAACAGACTGCCTCGGGAGGTGGTGGAG